CGTGCTGGTGCCCTCCAGCAGAGTGGCAAGGCTGCCGTCACAGGCCTCTTTGGACAGTTAGGCCTGTTGAACTGGTTCAGCTCCCCTGGTTTGGAAGTGGATCACCACATTCCTGTGACTCAAACCATGCGGTTTCAAGACCCTGTGAGAACCCAGTGAATTTCAGCCACCCAGAACTTTGCAGGGGTCATACTTCAAAGGACACTCAACCCAAACTTACCTTGAAATAAGTGAAAACACAGAAGGGTACCAACAGGAGGGAACCGAGTAAACTGTAGCCTGAATTTGGCAGGACCTGTACCAGACACACCCCAAAAGCAGGTTTATCTTGCACTCAGCTGTTGTAACAATTTGAACTTTCTTGCTGACCCACTCACACCCAAGCCCTGCATTCTAGTTTTAGAGAAGCGCTCTTTTGCCCAGGCAAATATTTTAACTTGAGCATCATTTCTCATTCAATTTAGGCATGTCTTTTTGTTTAGAAGACAAGTTTGAGGTGAATATGAGCCTCTGGCCTAAGTTTCTAATTTAATTGTGTTCATTAGCATGGTCAGTTTCACTTGAATTTTAAGCGAGAGGTGTGTGAGCAGTGGAGTGTGGAAGGTTTCACTGCTATCTTTATTTGTGGTCATAGCAGGCTATGGTTTGTGGGAACAGGGCCTCCCCTCCTCCCTTGCAAAGCAGGAAGCAGTACAGTGGGTACTCTGGAAGTGCTGGTAAAATAGAACCTTTGGGTTTACTGGTGAGCTATGCAGAGAACATAAAATGGGGAAGAACTGTCGTGGCATATTGGCATCTTTAGGCCGTGAGGTGGTTAGAGCCAGGTCAGTCAGTTTAGGGGAGAGTTAATACTGTTTTAGCATGTCTAGGCAGATGGGAGCTCTACTGTGGCAATCTAAAAATTTTCCCAATCTGGGGGCCTTATTCAGCTAGCTGATTACATACAGTTTGCACTATAACACTCCTTAGTTTTAGTGTAGGCGTTTTGAGTACCGGTATTTCAGATAACACCTCGCTAGTGACATATTCTTCTGCCTTCTAAGAATGTTGTAAAATTGTCACAGGAAGGTGTGATATAGTGGATTAAGAGTTGACGTGTAAGAGCAGCCATACACCAACACTCTTAAAACTGGGTACGGATGCTGTTCTCTAGGTGCTGGACATCCCAGTGACGTGGAAGGCTGTAGGGAATGTGCACATAGTCCCAGCACCAAGCATGCTTGGTCAGAGCACCCGGAAATACCGGTCTATTCTTCTGTGTCACCCTGACACAGACAAGCGTTCTTGTGTATTGAGATACAGAATTTGGGGATGTTAGCCAGCCCCTCGGGAATGTTCCTTATGCTGCACAACTCAGAGCCCAGAGGTGCCATGGGGTGCTGGGTTTGGGGAACCTGAGATGAAAGCAGAAAGAATTACATGTTGGTCCCATAGAACGTCCAACATATATGCAAACACTGGGTCTAGTGAGTTTGAAGCCTAGATATGATTAACTGGAATTCTAACTTTCATTTTCCAGGTTCCTTTTAATTTGTAATTTTGTTAGAGGTAGAAGGTATAGCATAGCGTGTAATACCAGATGCCAGTTTAGTCTTATGTTCACAAGGGGCATATCTTCCCCTCCCAATAGAGAGGGTTCACTTGGTAACAAAAGAAAAAGATGGTTTAGTTCCCATTTTTGTGGTGCCTACAAACTGGGACTGTATGAATGTAAGCAAGAGGGAACAAACAGACCTGTTTTCTCTTATCCCAAGTTCCCAATTCTAGCACTCTTCATGCTCAGTAGAGTGACAGAAAAGGCAGTTTTTCAGACTGTAATGAAGCTGGTATCCAGCTGAGTGGTCAGTGGGCACATATCTGGAGTTCATAAGCACCACACAGGCTTGTCACTTGCAGATCACTGATGACCATGAGCATGGTGGTGGCTGGAGCACTCACTCATCCATCCCAAGGCCCCTTGTGAAAAGTCATATGGAAGTGACTTGCTCAGGCAGTGACTGGGACAAGGGTGGCCCAGGGTAGACAGGAGAGGCAGTATATCTCCTTCAGGGGGTGATGCCCTCAATTCCTAGGTTGTCTGGCCAATCTCTGGTGCCTTTGAGTAGGAAGGACACAGACGGGCTGAAGGCAAAGCCGCATGATCAAGCCTGCCCTGGAGCCATGCTGGTGTGGCCTCCACAGCCTGGGAAGAGCTGAGAGTTGGTTTTCTACTCTATTCCTGGCCTCCAGGGTATTGAAAGGCTCTGATGGGACCTGCTTTTGGTGATGTGAGCTCCAAACACTGAACTAATGTCAGTGCCCAACAAGACTGATAGTTAGTAGTAGTTGTTGTTATTACTTGGAATTGAGCACTGTGCGTTCCCCCCCTTTTGGGGGAAGAGAGGTTGGTGAGAGTGTATATAAGAAATGTTTCTATCATCTTGGCTATCAGTGCTTGGTTATCAATTATATTAAGTTAGCAGAAAACCATAAATGACTATAGATTTCAGATGATCTGAAGCTAAGCTTTGTAGGCTGAGGTGGCTGTGAAGAGTAAAAGGCATCGCCTGGCCGGGCGTGGCTCAGGGGTTGAGCGTCGACCTAGGATCCAGGCGATCGGTGTTTGATTCCCGGTCAGGGCACGTGCCCGGGTTGTGGGCTGCAGCCGATCAATGACTCTCTCATCATTGATGTTTCTATCTCCCTCTCCCCCTCTCCTTTCCTCTCTCTGAAATCAATAAAGATATATTTTAAAAAAAAAAAAAAAGTAAAAGGCATCAGTAGAGGTATGTGGATCTACCATGAGCTCCTCCTGCCAGGTCAGGCTCTGTAAGGGCCGCAGCCTAAGGCATCGGTGTTGCTCACCAAGTGCCCACAATAGAGGCATCTGTGGAGGTTATTTTCTGACTCTCCCAGCCCCGCCTCCTTCCTTAGTCTCTCTGTCCTTAGCTTTGTCAAGGCCTGAAAATGGGAAAGAAATCTGCTGGTCCCTGGTCTGCAGTGTGGTTTGCTCTTGGTAGATCTTGCAAAAAGAAATTTGCCAAGCAATGGTGTGACGGCTGGGATAAGCACTTTATTTTTTAAAATGACAATAGAAAAGTACCTTTAAACAGTTTATAAAAGCATAATAGGCTGTGTGGAAGTTGCTGTTTACCTTAGAAACAAGAGTATAGAAGTCTCACCGAGAGCCAGGTGGCACTGAAGGCATATGAGGGCTTGAACATAGCGCCCCCACACTACTGTAAGTGCCCCTTTGCTTCATTTATACAAGGGTGAGAGCCCCTCTTCCCTGGCCCTTCTGGTTGTTTTTTGTGTGTGTGTGTGTGATGACCTTTAAAAGCTTCTTGACATGTTTATTTCTAATGGAAAATAATGAAGGAAACCTGAATCAATATAATTATTAAAACATTGAAGTCTTTAGCATATGAGCAGATCAGTTAAGAAAGACTGTGATCATGTTTAGCTATATCAGCAGATGAAATTCTTAGGTCAATGTGTTTTTACACATGGTTCTTCTATAAAA